GGTTTTTCTTCCCAAGGTGGAGAACCTTGCATTTATCGGCGTTGAACACCATCAGATTCTCTTCCGCCCACTTGCTGAGCCTGTCCAGGTCAGCCTGGATAACCCGCCTGTCTTCCGGTGTGGATGCTTTGCCCCAAAGTTTGGTGTCATCAGCGAACTTGGCCAGTCCGCTTCTGACTCCAGTGTCCACATCATTAATGAAGATGTTGAACAATATGGGTCCAAGGACAGAGCCTTGGGGGACCCCACTGGTCACAGGACACCACGATGAGCGACTTCCCTCAATTACTACCCTCTAGGTCTGACCATGGAGCCAATTTTCCAGCCAGTGGATCGTGGTGGACCCAAGGCGACAATTGGCCAGTTTCACCAAGAGGTGATCATGGGATACCAGATCGAAGGCTTTTTTGAAGTCAAGATATATGTTTGTTGCCAAGTGCATTGGGGAACCCCCCGCACTCCTCTGGGACTCTCCATGCACCCCAGCATCACAGCACTCACTAGCCCCTGCTACCTAGAGGCATGTAGAAAAAAAATATTTAAAGCTGTGTCTATGTCTGAGTCAATTGGGAGGGTTCCTATTCGATTTGGAGAGATTCAAGGATCCTCCGATTTGATTCGGATTTGGAGATTCGGCCACTGAATTGGGCTGAATCTCGGTCAAATCGAATCAGGGACTGAAGCTTCACACAGACCTGTTACACATCTAGGATACTAGGATCATACAGTGGGTGCTCAAATTTGCATTTATCAAAACTGTTGGTAAATTTTGTATTTACCATAGGGTATTTTCTTACAGAAATCATTCTTGGATAACCAGCTAGCTCCTAGATGTACATATGCAAATACTATTGGCATGCATAACTGAATTTTAGAATGTTTAAAATGTGTCTAATTGCAGATGCTGTTATTTAATGTTTGGTTCTTAATGTCCATAAACAGTAGATGGGGATTTGCTTTTAAGACATTTCCTGGATAACCTCCACAGAGTAATACCTGGATCTCTATTTGCTTCTCACAAAATAAAGG